CTTATGTCCCTTGTCTGTGTCCCTGCACGGTAGAGTCAATGGTCTTTACACTCTTCGGTCTTCACACGAGGGCTGCCGTGGTGTACTAACCTTTTTTATACCCATTTGACAAAATGGAAATTGAATTCAGCTGAACACACTTTACTGTTTATCACAAAAAAGGGCTAAGCAAGCGCACAACACTGACAAGGTATGCGATACAGTACGAGACCAAATGCAACTTCAGCACGTCTTAACACAGTAAACAAAACAAGTGTTTCCTAGCAACGACAACTGCGCTAAACACTAATGAGACAAGAAATAAATACACCTGACAAGGTATGCGATACAGTACGAGACCAAATGCAACTTCAGCACGTCTTAACACAGTAAACAAAACAAGTGTTTCCTTCTAACTTTTAACTTCAGTTGATTGACTGCTTCTCTCAAAGAGTATTTCTTTACACTGTCTTTTGCTAGCGCTTAAACACACTTTACTGTTTATCACAACAAAGGGCTAAGCAAGCGCACGACACTGACAAGGTATGCGATACAGTATAAAAGGTTTTAATTTATATTGCGTGGCAAATTAATTAATTTTAAATTAATAATAAAAGTAACTTCATAATAATAGGCTTAATAAAATAAGAATTTAACAACCTACATTAATTGGAAACGTCAAATCCTCTTAATATTGCCAATAATTTATGTTTTTGACAATACCTCTGGCTATTGTCGATACAAAATCATCGTCTTTCGACGCAACCCAGCACAGAGAGGTTATCGCGGGGCTGTCTGCTACGCCACTGGGCAGACAGCACGTTGCCTGTTACGTCGTTTGGGCTGCCTTGTTGAGTGCAGTGACACTGAGAACATTATATTTTCTTTTTTTACTTTTATTTTCCAAATGTAATATGATTAGTCCAACGAATTGTTCGTATACTGCGCCTCCCATCAAGGTTCAGAGCCTTGCACCACAAACCATGCAGCATCTCAGATCACCCGTTAGGAAGAACACAGAAATCCTCTTTTTTTTTTAAATCCATGATCCTTCAGAAATCATTCTAATATGCTGATTTATTTTCAGTGCTGGAAACAGTTGTGCTGCTTTGTGTTTTTTGTTTTTTTTGGAAACTGATACTTTTTTCTGGATTATTTTATGAATAAAAAGTTAAAAAGAACAGCATTTATTTAAAATTAAAATCTTTTCTAACTCTAATGAGTCTTTACTATCATTTTTTATCCATTTAACACATCCTTGCTGAATAAAAGTATTCATTACTTTTAAAAAAAAGAAAGAAAAA